GGGGCGAGGGGCCGGGGGGCCGGGCTCAGACCAGCAGACCCCGAGGCCCACCTGCCGCTCCCGCGCAGAGAAGTTCTGGACGAGGGGCGAGGGGCCCATCTTCTTCTACACCGGCAACGAGGGCGACGTGTGGTCCTTCGCCAACAACTCGGGGTTCCTCGTGGAGCTGGCGGCCCAGGAGCGCGCTCTGGTAGTTTTTGCGGAGCACGTGAGTGGGGGCCGCGGGGCCCGCGGGGCGGCTCGGGCCGGTGGCGCTGGGGCACTACCTGCCCGTGCTCGTTCGTCCGCAGCGGTACTACGGGAAGTCGCTGCCCTTCGGCCCGCAGTCCACGCGGCGAGGCCGCACTGAACTGCTGACCATAGAGCAGGCGCTGGCCGACTTCGCGGTCCTGCTGCAGGCGCTGCGGGCCAGCCTCGGAGTCCAGGACGCGCCCGCCATCGCCTTTGGTGGCAGGTGGGCCTTACACGGGGGCTCAGGTCCCCTGGGGCCAAACACCATGGGCCCAGCTCTCCACTCCAGGGCCCCTGTCCAAACTGGACCACCCTGGAGTCAGCCCCGGAAGCCCATCTCCCCATCCTCTGCCGCTGGAAGCCCCTCCAGCTGAGGGCCTCTGAGTGCACTGCCCAGCCTTAGCTCAGCCCCTCCCCTAGGCCCCTCCCCCTCCTGGGGAAACCCCCTCCTGCCCTGAGTACCTTGGGACCTACTTCCCTGCCACACTGGTGGGGAGACCCTCTCAGTGGTGGGAGAGTGGCCTGCAGGGGGTGGGGAGCTGGTGAACCTCCGAGGAGACAGAAAGCGGGGCACGGGGGAGGGGCAGAACTGATCCCCCAGCTATGAGCGGCATGGGGTGGTACCCAGAGCTGTGGAGGGTGGGCCAGCCCCCATAACCCTGTGCCTCTCCCTAGTTATGGGGGCATGCTGAGCGCCTACATGCGGATGAAGTACCCACACCTTGTGGCTGGGGCCTTGGCAGCCAGTGCGCCCTTGGTGGCTGTTGCAGGCCTTGGGGACCCCTACCGGTTCTTCCAGGATGTCACCGCTGTATGTGAAGCCAGGGGTGGGGGGCAGAGGGGGCGCAGCCGGGATGGTGGGGACAGAGGACCTGGGGAGGGGGCAGAAGGGATGGGGGTGAGGTGGGCAGCAGAGGGGCTGGGGCAGGAGTTGGGAGGCAGTGGGGCTGGGATGGGTAGGGGGTGCAGAGGGCTGGAGAGGACACTGTAGGCTGCCATCTCCAGGACTTTGAGGGACAGAGCCCCAAGTGTGCCCAGGCCGTGCGGGACGCGTTCCGGCAGATCAAGGACTTGTTCCTGCAGAAAGGTGTGCAGCCCCCACCCCCAATCCGTCCTGCTGCTGCCCCTCCTACAGCCGCCTCCCAGTTGTCATCCTCAGCCCTCCCCTGCAGCCTACCGCACTGTCAGCCAGGAGTTCGGCACCTGCCAGCTGCTCTCCAGCCAGGACCTGGCACAGCTATTTGAGTTTGCACGCAACGCCTTCACCGTGCTGGCAATGATGGACTACCCGTACCCCACGGACTTCCTGGGCCCCTTGCCAGCCAACCCTGTCAAAGTGAGGGCCCACCTGGGGCCAAGGGGCAGTGAGCTCTTGGCTGAGGCGGGGTGGGGGG